CCTCCCTTCCTCTTCTTTGCGCCACCACCCCCCCCCCTTTTTCTCGGGCCTTCCCCCCCCCCCATCTCTCGGCCCACCCCTCTCCCTCCCCCACCGCATTTTTCCCCCCCCCCTTCCCCCTCTCTTCCCCCCTTTCCCCCCTCCTCCCCTCCTGCGGTTATGAGGCCATAACCCCCTCCATTTCCCCCCTTCACAGTTTCCCTTCTCCTCACAGTCCCCATTTCCCGATCTTTTGTTATACCGAAGGCCTCGTTCCCGGCCACAAAACACACACGAAAACCCCACCACACCCCAAACACCCCCCCCACAACACCCATACAAAAAAAAAGAAAAAAAAAAAAAAAAAAAAAAAAAAAAAAAAAAAAAAAAAAAAAAAAAAAAAAAAAAAAAAAAAAAAAAAAAAAAAAAAAAAAAAAACAAAAAAAAAAAAAAAAAAAAAAAAAAAAAAAAAAAAAAAAAAAAAAAAGAAAAAAAAAAAACCTCCCCTCCCTCCTCCCCCCACCCCCCCCCCCCCCCCCCCCCCCCCCCCCACCCCCCCCCCCCCCCCCCCCCCCCCCCCCCCCCCCCCCCCCCCCCCCCCCCCCCCCCCCACACCACCACACCACCCACCCAATACACACCCACAACCCCCACCCCACCCACACCCCCCCCACATCCACAACCAACAAACACACCCCCCCACCACCCCCACTCTGCTCCACCCCCTCTTCTTTCGATCCGCACGGATCCACACATCTGGTTTAATCAAAACACCCCACGGCATACTACTCCGCAACCCTGTTGCCACTTCTTGCGCCGCCACAAAGTTTTACCAACAGCCCACCTTCCTCCTACGCTTTGCCTCTCGGCCCTCTCATTTATACCCCGCACCCCACCCATCTCTACGTCCATATGCGGCTCCTTTTTCCACAGTTCTTTCTGCTCACCCCCCCACTATATGCTCCCCCCCACCAAACATTTCTTTTGCTTTCCCCTGCCCCTGTAGTTCCCCCCGTGTTTTCTCCCGTTCCCCCTCGCTCTCCTTCCCCCTCGCCCCCTTTTGTTGACCCTGTTTTGGCCTCCTGTGTTTTTGTCCCCCTTTTTCTTTTTCCATGCCCCCTCTCTTTACTTCGGGCCTTTCTTGCCTTCCCCTCTTATTGTTCTGCCCCTTTTGCTCTTCTTTGCCCCCCCCCCTGCGGCTCGTTCCCCCTTTGTCGCGGGGCCCTTTCGCTTCTATTTAGAGTGGTCCCCTTCTCCGTCTTTGGCATCCTATCCACACCACAGACAGCTCCTTTTGATTTCTCCGCACCCTCCACTCTGCCTTTCACAACTCTTGATTGGCGGACCAGGGGAATACCTGTATTCAACCACGAGCAACGCAGCACAAGCCATGTCACGGCCAATTCCCTTATACCTCTGGCCAGCCGGGACATTTTTTTTTTTTCATGATTTATTTACAATCTACTGTGCATAACCACATTTGAATTGTACCGATTGATCATACACTTCGTACCGCTTTTTTACCATCAAGCACTGCTATACTCTCCTCGCTTTCCTTTGCCACCCCCATTGGCGCACAACCTCACCCCCGCGTCGTCAACCCACCCCTTGCCTTTCGCCTTTTCCTGCCCTTTTTCTTTCCGCAACCCTTGCCTCTTGGTTGGTTTTTTCTGCTTTCTTTTTTTTTCCTCTCGCGCTGCTCACATTTTATATTTTTTTTTCCACGCTTTCTTTCTGTCTGCCTCCCACCTGCTCTTCTTCTCCTGTTTTTCCTACTCGTTGCTGTTTCCCCGCGACTTCGCCCCCCAACCCCCTGCCGTTTAGAGACACTTGACGTTGCCGCTCAGTTCCTTATAATTCGTTTTTTGCGGGCCGGGCCCCACGGCTCCCACATTTACCCACCCTCCACCTTGCGCTAACCCTACCTTACATTGCCCGTACACGTAGAACTTTCACTTGTTTTTTAACGCGCCCAACAGTCCGTCCACCGGAAGCACAAACCAGGCATACAGCTTGCTTCTTCCTCGTTACCACCACGCTCCACCGTCCCTCCCTTGCCCCAGCGCCCCCGGTCTTTTTGTGTTGGTGGCTCCGTTCGTCTTTGCCCTGCTTGGCCCCCCTACTTTCCCCTTGTGTTCCCTGACCCTCGTCCCCCCCCCGCCCTCGGCTCCCCCTGTTCTTTCCCTACGCCCCACAGAATTTTACCACAACACACCGCTGTTTTTACCATTTTGATCTTGTACCCACCTATTGTTCCCAAGGCATTAGAAGCAAAACGCGCCAATAACACAACATTCACCGGAAGCTACCAATCACAACCACACAACACCTACATTCCCTCTTTTTTTCCCGCACACAAACTTGCCACACACTTTACCAAACACCCTCTAAAAGAGTTTCAAGACACTGGGAAGACTGCAACGCCGAACCCCAAATTCAACCTAAAACACAAGGGGTCCACGGGAGTAGCCAGCGAAAACACGCAAACCCAACACAAAAGAGACATAAAAACGTATAATTAGAAGGCATACAACTAATAAAAAAATAAGAATGAATCAAAGGGTGAACAAGTTGTGTTGGAACCCGCGGCCGATTGACAACCAAAAAAAAATTACGAGGTGCACATGTTTACATGTACTTTATATAACAAAAATCTCAACGTTCTGAGGCTACTTGTTTTGTTTATGGAGATCGTACGTAATGTTCATCAGACCCGTGAAAAATTCTCTTCAGAATTATTTTTAAAGCAGTTTTTTTTTAGTTTTTTTGGAGGAAAAGGTCTTTTATTCTGTCCTTACATATAAGATATCACGCAAAAACATCGTTAAATTGCATTTCGAAGGCGGTCAAAGTGGATATTTTTGTTGAAATATGCTGCCTGAAGCTTTTCGCGATTACAATACTTCCTTGTGAAATTTTTAAAAGAGCATATGCACACAATATGCAATCAGCTGGAAGGAAATTTTTCAACAAGAAAATAAGTTTGCTTTTTAAAAAAGAGCCCGATTGACAAATTACTGTGTGGCAAAAGTTGAATGAAGAATTAAATTAAAAAAAAATACCTATTGTCTGCTGTTAAGCATGATGGTGGAAGCATAATGGTTTGTGATGTTTTGCTGTCTCTGTTATAGGAAATTTAGATTTTATAGAAAATATAAGCACATAAATATCATTAATGAAAACCAGGAACAGTTTTTAAGAAAACTTGGAATCCCAAAACAGCATTAAATATCCACTGGTGGTTATTATACATTCAATCTCAAACTATCAAAACTCCTCTATATTTTTCAGACTTCAATCCTATTGAACATGTAAGAAGTGGGTTAGATAAAGAATAAGGAAAAATTATACTAAAAGTAATTCTTAGGAAAGAAAGGGGGAAAAATGGAATACTCTTACATAAAAAAATAGTTGAATCCATGTGAAAGTACATGAAATATGACAGCTATAGAGTATCCAATTAAATATTGAATTTGCATGTTTTATTAAAAAAAGATAATTTACTGTACATGAAATATTACAGCTATAGACAATTAAATATTGAATAGCCGATCATTTTCATGTTTTTATTAAATATAAACTATTTATTACAAGTGTCTGAATACTGTCTTGTTTTCCAGAACTTTTTGAATAAATTATTTTATTTGCCAAAACATTTTGAATCCTTTTTTTCCCTTCAAAATAATCAGGTTTTAAGTTTGTCTTTGCAAGTACTTTCAAGCATAAATGTGCAACTTAAATATTTTATGCCCTAGAATTTAGAGACCTACATTTTTACTTAGAAGCAATTATATTGTACTTCTTTAAAAATTTCATCTTTAGTCACTTTAAATAAGTAATTAAAAAATACCATATAAAATGAGTTTAGATTAGTCCTAAATTTAGATCATAAAACTGGCTTTTTCTCCTTACATATGCTTTACAGAAATATAAATATTTTGGAAAAATATACAAGTAAATTTTGAATTGACAAAAGTAAACATGATACAAATAGGTTTTTTTCTGCAGTGGGAAAAATTATTAAAAATCTATCCATTTCTTAATTCAGTTTAGGTATGCACCAAAACAGATATGCCTCCACCATAATAAATAAAATAAAATTAATAATCTGGCAATAAAACAACAATATCTTTCTCCCAACCTCTATTTTAAAAAATAGTCTAAGCATAGAATTGTTACCTTCTTCTTGAGATACTGAAGAGAGAGTGGAAGGGTCCCAAAGTTTATCTGCCTCATGCTCTACTAAGAGGGCATCTTTGAAATTAGCTGAAACGAATAAAATTCAAAATAGTAATATTGAAATAATGCATACTTACATAGCAAATATACATAATAAATTATTACATTTTTGAAAGCTACTGCAATAACTGTTTCAAAAAATAAATGTCAGGAAGGGGAAGTGAAACAATCTGCTGTTGAATTATAGTTCTAACACTCATTACAAAGCAAATTAAAGCTTCTACTGATTACACATGAAATTTTCAAAGGAAATTTTTATATATATAGCTAGGCATTCTAAATTTAATAATTATTAAATAGCCATATCTTTTCATAACTAAATAACTTTTATTTTCAATTTAATGCAAATTTATTTGGTTTGACAATCAAAAGTCTATATCCTTCAAAAAAGCAAATAAATTACACAATTCTTAGTTTTGCATATGCAGAAAACACAATTTCATGTTCATTTCCATGAAATACAAATTATGTACTTATAAATTTTACCCGTTTTAAAAAAAAAAAAAAAAAAAAAAAAAAAAAAAAAGGAAGAGAGAGGAGAAGCGAGAGAGGGAGGGGGGGGGAATCTAATATGAACATTTTGATTTATACTTTTTTTTTTTTTTTATATATAATTAGAATTAGATCAGCACAGGTAAAATTCCATTTAATGGCAGTAGACAACCTCAGCAACAGACCCTTTTTAAAGCATGTACAAACAAAAGACTGAAAATTGTTACAATAGCAAATATATCTAAAACAATAACATATTTATAATATACAAATTAATATATCTTGAACGTGGTAAATACTATATATTTCTAATATGTTTAATTCAGGCTAATACAAAGTAGTATGAAATTTTTAATATAATTAAATGACAATTTGAAACATCTCAGAAACTTACGATTGAAAGGAGGTATTTTGGCTTGGTAGTTGGAACCAATGTTTACATGTCTAGAATTATAAAAACAATTACACATCCAGAACATGAAAGAACAAAATTGTTCTATAATACATATTTTTAATGATACAGATAACAAAAGGTGTACATTTACATATTACACTTACGGGAGAATATCAGATTCAGGTGCTTCCACTAATTCTTCTTCTACCTCTGGAGTACTTTCACCTGTACTAGCTGAAAGGTACCAATAAAAGCCATTATGCCATCAGATTCACTGCATGGTAACAATGAAAAAAAAACTTCTCAAAACTTTAGAAGATTATTAAATTATTTATGAATTTCATAAAATAATAATTGTAACAAAAAATTCTTATCAAGATGAGTTAAAAGCATTAAAACTGATTTGATGGAAGGTTAATTCATAAAGAATGACCATGCATAAGAAAAAATTATGTCATGTTTAAAAAAAAGGCTATTTCATAAATTTTTATTTGCCTTTAGCATAACATGAATCTATTTTCTAATAAAACAAAGTAAGAATTCATAAAGAATGACCATGCATAAGAAAAAATTATGTCATGTTTAAAAAAAAGGCTATTTCATAAATTTTTATTTGCCTTTAGCATAACATGAATCTATTTTCCTATAAAACTACATAAGTAGCTAGATAACTACAGTTTATTAAAAGATAATGATGGATACCTTAACCCTTTCGACCCGAATTTTGCAAGATTAATATTTAATATTTAACTATGAAAAGTAATTTAATTTAATGCTGACATACTAAAAGAAGTGTAATATGAGTTTAAAGTTTTTAACTTTTGCTATTTCTTGAAAATCTCCTGGTACAATATGTCCCAATCATATTGTCAACAGGAACTATTTGTCCCAATTGTCTAAAACAGGGCTTCTTAAACTTTTTTTCAGTTGCAACCCCTTTTTATCACTGAAATTTTTTTGGGACAACCATAAGCATTGTGCAAATACGACACACACATGAGTGAAACTGTCAATTTTTTCACTTGTTCTGTAATATACTATTGCAGGTGTAGGTCATTAACTTTAATTTCTAATTTTAAGACATAGAACAATGTGAAAATTTTAAATAAGTAACAGATGAAATGACAGCATCATGTGCAAAGCAAGTAAGATGAACTTTTAATATTATAAAAAGAAGTGGGTCGTTTTCATTTTTTCTTTGTCTATATTGTCTTATCTTTTATCTATTTTCAGATATATTGTGCAAAAATATTTGGTAATTGTAAAATTATCATAAGTTAAAGAAATATCAAATTGCTAAAATTTTTGGCGACCCCCATGGGGATCCTGACCCACAGTTTAAGAAACGTTGGTCTAGGATATTACCCATTCTCAGAAAACAAAACTAAAATTTACAGTAATATATAATGTGAATATTACAAAACATAAACTTTGTCACATGAACTAGTTCATATACAACATAAATTTCATTATGTTTTCAAAAAACCACAACATAATATATCAGCATGTAGTAATTTGATCACTGGGGACACATAACCTACTGTTAAATACGATTGAGACAATATATCCTAGAAAAAGAATTTATTCAAAATTTCTTAACTTTGACATTAAAAATGTTAAATTACTACTTAATAAGAAAAATAAGAACTATTTCATACTAAGTATGCTTTAAATATCCTTGTACTTACTGCAAAATTAAAAAAATAGACAAATCAAAACTTGAGTAATCAGCATATTCAAAAACATAAGTGTACCATTTGCAATCTAAAAGTGTTGCCAGGTTTCTTTAGTCATATATCTGTTCCCAATTCCTTAAAAGCATTGTAAATGTAAAAAACCATTTAAAAGTGGGTTTTATTTATTCCCAATAGGGTATGAAATCTAATCTCTGGGATGTATGTGCCCTTTAGGATCAAAAGGGTTAAAGAATGTATAAGAAGTACTTCTTCAGCAAAAGCAAATTGCGGAGTTTGGGTTTGTTTCTCAGTCACAGCTAATATATTAAATTCAAGGTAACACAGACTAGTCAAAAATTTTTTATATAATTAAAAGTCAATTTGAAACATTTAAGAAACTTACGATTGTTAATATTTTTTCTCCCCCCTTCAAATCACTCTTCATCTTACATAAATTTAGATAAAATAAATTAAACTAAAACAGTATGCATCTATAGGAGTTTTATTAAATTCTCAAACTTTGAGTTAAAAAAAAACACTTAAAGATTATGTATTTTTTTATAATACATTATGCAATTTTTAAAACAACATTAAAAAATCTGAAAATTAAATATATTTTTCCATGGGCAAAGTTTTCTAGTGATAATGGAATTTCCTGCTTCACTGGCTATAAAGTTCAAACTCTAAAATTCTTGATCTGAATTTTTGCTCTAAATTAGTATTGCTAAATTTAATTAATAGTATATGCAACTATTCCGATTTCAATTTAGCGTAAATGATATACATACTATATCACATTCAAAGAAATTTTGTCTTATATCATAAAAACTGAATTTACTTGGTATTTTTTACTTTTGAATTTATAGATCTTCCATAGATATGTAATATATTGAAGAGATGAATAAAAGAAATTAAAACATTTTCTTTGATTTCATTCTAAATCATGTTTAAATAGAAAATGTATTTTTTTATGAAATCAAAACAAAAATTCTCATAACAATATTAATTTCAAAACAAAATACCACAGAGTGTCAACATGATCTAAATTTACAGCCCCACTTGTTTTTGTATAAAAATAAAATGGACATATGTAATGTTTACAAATATTTCACAATGCAGCATGTAACAAGTCAATGGACCTCAATTTTGCAAGTAGAATATAACTTATTCAATGTGCATGCAACTGTAAATATGATCCAACATTTGGATTATGCAACTCTTAAAGTTAATTCAAATTTTTCTCTTCACATTACATTTTATCCTATGAATTCAAACATAACTTGCAACTAATTCTGTGTATAAGAACAAAAAAATAATTTGAAATAAAAGAAATTAAAAAATTGGATTTTAAATGAAATATTTTATGCTTTGATACCTATGAATGGGTAAAAAATAATAATAGAATTACCTTTACGAACCAATCCAAAACTTGGTGTTATAGGTGCTGATTTTGGAGTCAAACTTCCAGACCCACTGATTATGTGCCAAAACAGGCCAGACCCACTGCGAACTGGGCTTAACATTGGTGGGGGTGTATAAGGTGGAGGACTTAATTTTTTATGGTCAGGATTTGAAGGATCCCATAAGCGAGGAGATCTGAGTCTGCTAGTAAAACCACAGGTGTTGACGTAGGGTGGAATATATAGTGGCTAAAAGAAACAGAAAATTGTATGTAATTTTGATTAAAAAAAATATCAATATGACCTTTATGAAAGTTTTTTAAGATAAAAACTATTTTTTTTAGATACATTACGTAAATACATACATTTAAAATACTCAGTTAAAAATTATGATTCAATTATGGTTCAGGTAAAATGTAATCTTGTAAGCAGCGTCTAGAGTTTTAATCCGAGAAATAAGATATCAAATATGTAAAAGTTCTTGAAACATTTGAATAAAATTGAAAAAAAATTATAAATAACAGAACAATTTACAAATATTAACACAATAACTGATAAAATATATATATTACCAAACTACAATGCAAGAACCCTTTGTTGCTTGGATAAAACAAGGTAATCTACAATGATTTTCAGTTTAGTTATGCTCCTGTAACTGATTACAAAACAGTCTCAGCTGATTATGTATCCATTTATTCAGTTTTTCAGTATCTATCATTTTTAATGAATACTTTGGTTTCTGATATAATCCACAAGAAAAAAACAGAATGAGACTGGCATAAGCTTCCACGATCTCATTAAATCTGTTGGTTCTAGAAATCTTTATGTAGATAATCTTGCACAAATTTACCTTAATGATAGAGTGGCCTGCATAGATTAGATACAAATGAAAAAAATTGGATGTCTAAAATTTATATTTTTATAAAAAATTTTAGATTAAGTTAAATTATTTTGCAACAATAAGTTTTTTTAAAGTTAAATAACAAAATTAAAATAATAATCATTACTGTAATAACTGCTGTAAACTTTGTCCTTCTATTTATACTTTATTTGTTATTAATTTTTTAAAATGTCTGGAGTTTTGGATCCCCGTGTATTTTTTTGTTAATTATAACATATGTTTGTTATTTGTTAATTATAACAAGAAAAAAGAAATGCTAATTACTGGAATTATCATACAAATGTTATTAGTTCATATTCAGATATTTATTAATATAAAGTGATATGGATTAATTTGCTTAACAATCAACAGTTTAGTTAAAGTTATAAATTAGTAATTACACTCAGCAATGAAGATTTTATCACCAGATAAACAAAGTTGGTTTATGAATATTCAAGTACACTGGTTTTAGATTTGCATATGAAATTTTTCTATAATCTGCAGCTTTTTAATGACATTACTTGCTTAAAAATGTGAAAATATGCAAGATGAAATTACATACACAGGTACATAGAAATTTAGAGAAATGTGTTTACTTCTGTTTATAAGCCTTCTTTTTATTTATTGAGTCATGTTTTTTATGCTCCACTTCAAATTTCCAGTTTAACTGGAAACTAAGTTGTAAATTTTAATCATGGAGATGAATTTCCATCAATTTTTCATTGTTACTTGAGCATGCATTTGATACTCTGACCAACATACTCATAGACATTATATATTATAATTAATGTTATGTGTTATAACTAACTAACTGGGTTTTAAGGATTATCATTTGATGCAATACCATTAATTACAGCACCTCTGATTTGCCTATCCACACAGATATGTGACATCAACAAGATTTATTCCCTACCTCTCTTACAGCAGTACAGCAAGAAAAATTTTCATGAAGAAACTCCGAAACTGAGAAACGGGTAGTTTCTTATTAGCCACACTCCTAGTTTCCACTTTCAGAGTAACCGCTTGTCTGTGGTGTATTTTCAAGTATACATGCGATAATAAATAGCCCATGCATTCAAGTATGACATATATGTTTGAGTATATACAGATTTACATTCTTTATATTTAACTGTTATTTTGATAAACACAGCCATAAAAATGTAAATATTAGCAATGTAAATTTTCCTCTTATCATAAAATGCTTCTTTTTATTATTTGTTTAGTGGAACAATGCCTATGAGCCATAAAGATAGCCAAACAAATATTTTCTGCCCATTTATAAAGTCTCCAATTGGTTTGCAACTTTTCTTGAGGATGTCAATAATTAGAAAGCATTGAGAAATGATATCAATCTCTCTGTGTTTTTACGGTTCTTCAGACTAAATACAGCAGATGGTCCCCAAAACATCTGTTAATAGACACTTTCCATTAATGGACAGTGAGATTCAATTTTATTTCCATTTCATAAATAATTTCCTTTCTCAATGCACATAAACATTTACACCAACTTTAAGTAATTATTACTTTCAATAATTAAGAAATTTATTAAAAAGTGCTTGTGTGTTAGTCTAACCATTTTTGCGCAGTTTGATGATTTTTTACAAGAGAAAAAGGAAGACGACTTATAATCACAGGTGATTATTATTACTCCCTACAAGTTTTTGAAGTAGATAACTTTAAATTAGGAACAATAATTTCTTTAAAAAAACATGTTATAAGTGTATTTTACACTAACAGTCACTATTTTAGAGATTTACATGATTATTATTTAACTTATTTGATATTTATTAAACACAGTCAACTACTATTATAATCACAATGTAAAAATATTCTGCAAATTAAAATAACTGATTTGTAAACATACAATTTATTTCCTTGGTTTTTTGAAAGATACTAAAATAATAAACTGTACAATAAAAGATACAAAACATTTGTGCTTTTTTTAAATCTGAAATCTTTTCAGCTATTTTAACATCTAATTTATTTATGTCTATTTCCTTTTCTTTAACTATTCTTCTAAGTTCATTTGCTTTAATAAACAATCAATGTTCATGCTGGTCTCAGCTTCATCTGCTAAAGCATCTACTTCTTCATTAATATCTTTAATGTCCCTTTGAAGAAATTTTTTCTTCTGCTTCATATAATCAATTTCTTCCTCAATGATATTTCTTTTCCTCTTTGAATTTTCAGATTTAGTTAAAGATTTTTGTTCTTCTAAATACTGCATATAGTTAGACCTTGCAGAAAAGCTGCTGCTGATCTCATTTCTTTATTAATTTCGATATTAAGAACACCTCCAGAAAATTTTATGTAATCAAATACTGTGCATTGAAAAATGTATGATGAGTCACTTAAATTTTCAATTTCAATTGCTTTATTTACAGAGAAGCCCCTTTCCACAGAGGCCTGTCCATGTGACAAGATAAGAATCATTTTCACTATTTTCCATACTTTTGAATAATGAAAATCATGAAAATAAGAAGTGAGAAATGTGTCAAGAGAAAGATTTTGAGGATCAAAAGTAGAAAATTATGTAAATTTGTCTTAACTACTTTGTATAGAAACTCTCCAAACTGCAGCAGAATTTCATCCCAATCATCTTGTAAAACACGTTTATTCTGCATTAATACCGTTAGAACAATTTTCATTTTGTTCTCGGCTTTTTCTGGACTTTTTAACCATCAATCGCGGGTCTACACAAGATGCATTTCGAATAAGAGAATAATTTATTGAACATTTAGACATTAAGTGTTGTACCATTGTTAAGACACATTGTTGACCTTCTTGTTTCAATGCAAAACTTTCAGCTTGTGAAATGTCCTTCTTGCGGCATTTATCATTCATTAACTGCTCAGCAATGAATCCCAAATAAACTTTACTTTTATCATTATTACAATTTGGATCATTAAAATTAAATTTATAAAGATTTTCTGCTTTAGTTATTTTTGAATATTTTAGTTTCAAAATTTTAAAGTGCTGAAGGCAATCATTTACAAGTTTTAAGATATCTTCAGCAAAAAAGGGAATAAGTGGTTTATCACTTTGATAATATTCAAGGAAAGGCAATAATATTGTCGATAGAGAGAGAAAAAATTTAATTTTATAAGAAATGTTTTATCTTTAGTTGCCTCCAAATATTTTAGAAGGATTTCGATGAATTTTTTTTAAACTTCCCCATTTCAACTTCTTTAATGTACAGTAGCAAGTCATCCCATATTTCAATGGCTCTTTCAACTGCTGGGACATTTTGCAACCATCGGTAAAAGAAGAACTTCACAGGTAGCTTTTTTAAGCCAGATATACTTAAAAAATCTTCACGTCTTGCAGGAGAATCTTTAAAAATCCAATATAAGGAGGATAAGAATGATGGAATGTCCCAGCCAGTGGATGACATCCTATGCTTGAAAGCATTGTTAAGAATGTGTAAACCACATGTCCCTAATGTCAAGCATTGAACGTTATATTCCTTTGTCAAGTCCTGTTGCAATAAATCATAAAATTTCCAGTTTACTGCAGGACCATCCATCAATATTTGTAAGAGTTTTGACAAGTCTAGTTTTTCAACACATTCATAATATTTGGATAAAATAATTTCACTTGTTGCATGCCCTATAAATGCAGAAGTAAGGTACTGAATTCTGACCTTATTTTCATGATGCCAGTACCTCACATAAATATCTAGTTGCTTCTTTTGATTTGTCAGATTAAGAGTCTCATCAAATAGTAATGTAAAAAACTCAGCATTTTTACAATGCTTTAGTAACAAAGTTTTAAAATAAGGGCTAGACCAAAATAACAGATATAAGCACATTTCTTTTCACCACATGAAAACCATTTTGCAATGGAACTATCCGAGAACATTTTAGTGAATAACGGCCCAATATCATCGCACGATTTAAAAGAATAGTGGCTTTTGATGCACTTTAAGCCCACTATAGTGATCCTATAAGTTAAGTTACTTAAGTTACAGATGCAGAAATATTTTTCTGCATCTGTAACTTCAGATTTGAAAAGAAAAGAATTGGTTTTATTATTTTCTACACTTATTGATGTTGAATTAGCAGTTACATCTTTTCCTGAAGTAGATGGTTCTTCTAACTTGACACAATTCATGATACTGTTAGAAGAAACTCTGCAGTTGAGAACGGAAAGATGTTTTGCAGCTAAACGGGGCATTACATGCAAGGCATTAGTAAAATTAAGTATCGCATATATATATATATATAATAAGAAATGTATACTGAAAATATACATTTTTTACTATATATATATATATCAGTACTTTTATATATAGTAACATATATATATATATACAGTACAAATTCCGAGATCCGGACATCCAATATCTGGAATGATCTAAAATCCGGAC